AACTGCTCAAGTTTAAGTCATACCTTCGCAGCTGTGTCTTCTTCAATGACTTGCCTAAGTATGTTGTCTGAGAGATAGAGGATAATCGTAGAGTATGCAATTTCCTGCATGTCAGCCTTCTCTTCATCGGTGCCTTGAACATCCTTCAAGTCTCCGAGAGCCTTGGCCACCTTTTGTTGAACTAAGATAGCCCTTAATTTCTTACGCCATAACCCAAAATCCCCAGAGCCATCGAACTTTTCCAGTTCGAATTTTGCGGTACCCATGTTCTTCGATTTCGCCAAGATCTTGATCAAGGTGAATCAAGATTCCAATTGAGTCTTCGATCTTCTTGATTTCACGATGAGAAATAAAACCCTAGGCTCTGATACCACCGTTGGAGCGATTCCAACACAGATCTACGAAATCAATGAACACAACAACAGAGAACACAATCTTACAAGGTTGTTTGTTTGACCAAGGTTCGGGAACCTTTGAGATTTTCCTACATCCCCGTTGAGCTCGTCTGCAAGCAAGCTCTTTCCACTAAATCAAGAAAGCAATTACACCATCAATACTCACGATTACAGAGATTCCCAAAACCAGAGAAGAACTCACACCCAGAGAAGAAATCACTCACACCCGAACAAGAAGAATACCCAGTGGAGAAGAAACCCTAAGTTTTCTCCAGATTCTCTCGTTCCCAAAACTGTTGATTTCTCTCTCTACACAACCGGGAGTTTCTCTCTCTATACAATCTCTCTCTCTCTCTCTCTCTCTACAATACAGAATATGAGATGAAGTCTCTCGACCCCTTTTGGCCAAAGGAATATATCTAATTAGCTTTACACGTGTCAAGCCCTTGTAAGCTCATCTTAACCTTGAGTCGGTTTAATATTGCTTCCCAACCAAAACGACAAGCTCCTTGAACCAAACGACAAGCTCCTGGTGGAAGTGCATCCTTGATGAGTGTCGTTTCCTGAGATTACTCTCACAGTTGTCATTACTGTTTGCAAGTAAAATCGAATCACTTACCTGTTGTTTTCAATATTTTTCTACCCGTTTAATCCTTTTTCTACTTACAACAAGAGTGCAAATATACATAACATGCAGGTTGCATTCCCGAATGTAAAGACGCTGCATCTTGAGGGTTTAAAATCCAAAGATCCAAAGATCAAATGTCGAAGAAAGATTTCAATTAAGCTATTTGGAGATATCTTTTTTACAAAACTTGGAGCGTGTATGGAGTAAAGATCCTCAAGGAGCTTTTACATTTCAAAAGCTCGTTGAAATTAAGGTTGATTGGTGTGGAAGATTGAAATTTCTTTTTCCACCCTCTGTCGCCAAAGGTCTTGTCCAACTCGAATCACTTAAGCTGGGGAGCTGTGATGGGATACAGGAAGTTGTTGGCAAGGAGGAACAAGGAGAGGAGACGATAATACCAAAATTTGTGTTCCCTCACTTAACCACGCTGCATTTAATCTGACTGCCGGAACTTGCGAGTTTCTACCCTGGACTACATTCTTCAGAATGGTCTTCTCTAAAAGTATTTGGAGTTGAGATATTGTTGGAAATTACAAGATCTTCGCTTCAGAATTATTAAGCTTCCGAAACAAGGTGCGAAGTGCGGCCGATGTTGATACTCCAATTCAAATTCCTTTGTTCTTGATGCAGAAGGTAGAACTAGTGCGACTAACATCCCTTATTTTTACATCTACCTTGTATATGCAGAGTGTTTTTTTTTTAATACGAACAGAAGTTGCTATTCTCCTTATCTGGAGAAAATATAACTAGCCTCACTCTTAAAAAATTGCTTTTGTCCAGGTTATCTTTCCTAAATTGGAAGAATTGAAGCTGGAAGAAAGCCTTGACTTGAAAAATATAGAGAATGAATGCGTACGACGTGGTACGAAACAATGTGCAGAGATGCTTCCACGTTTAGAAGATGAAGAGGATGAAGATCTTTCTTACTGTCATTAAGATTGGGAGACAATATCGAAAGAAGGCAAGATTGCATTCTACTCTTTTTTTTTTTAATTATAGTTTTTGCAAAAGAAAAAAAGAAAGAAAGAAGAAGGTTTTAAATTAATCTTCTAGTTTAGCAAATGGATTATCTTGGGTGGACTACGTACGTTTTTGCGTTTCTTTCTTTGTAATAGCATTGACTTTCGTTGGCAACTGGACCTTTCAAATGAATTTTCTCCAACCATATCACTATCTGATTCTGAAGCAGAAGGCACGGAAGATTCTGAAGCGGCAGACGGAGATGATCCTGAAGTAGAAAACAATAACTCTGAAGCAGAAGAAACTCTAAAAGGTTCTGAATCTAATCTTGAGAGTTTACAGATTTGGAATGCCACAATAAAGTACTATTCCCTTGTCCATTTTCCCTAGGAAAAAATACTCGTTAATTTATTATACGTCATTCAGCAACCAATAATGTAGCATTAAAAAAAAACGTCATTCAGCAACCAATAATGTAGCATAAAAAAAAAAACGTCATTCAGCAACCAATAATGTAGCATAAAAAAAAAAACGTCATTCAGCAACCAATAATGTAGCATAAAAAAAAAAACGTCATTCAGCAACCAATAATGTAGCATAAAAAAAAAGTCATCAATTACTTGAGTTATCGAAAAATGGAGCAAAATATACATGACACGGGGAAAAAAAAACTTCGAAAGAACAATAAAAGTCGTCCAATATAACATATATCAGAGGCCACAAGACGAAAAGATAAAATAAAATACAATTGACAACAAAGAATAATAATAAGAAAAACTGGAGAAGGTATATATACTGAGCTAATTTCGTCTTCTTGTCAAGAGTATTGCAGCACCAAAAAACTTCCAATAGCTCGCCGAATAAACGATTTCAATGTGTACATTAGCAAAAAAGAAAAAAAAAAAAAGATTTCTACGTGCCGTCTCACCTTTTTTTTTTTCCGATGGAATACATAAAGCCAGATTTGTAGCAAAACAAAAAAGAAAACGGCACTCTTGTAAATAAGATCAAAAGAATGTCTTTGTATTTAATTTGTTTGTTTCAGAAAGTGAGGATGCCACGTGTCAAAAGACTAAGGGTCTGTTTAGTTCACTGATTCAAGTTGAGATGTGATTTTATGTGAGTTTTTTACTGTAGTAAAAAAAAATTTAGATATGACTATTTTTTAGAACTTTTTACTGTAGTAAAACTCAGATCGGTGAAATGAAAGAGGGCTAATTTATTTGTTATGTTCCCCATTTAATTACCAAAGGTGACAGAAGTATCCTTCTTCAGATTTTTAAAATCCAGCTAAAATCTGGACAAATCTGTTTTTCATTGTCACAGAGTTATCGAGATCAAATTTAACATCTTTTCAAGGATTTCTGGATAATATTTTCATTAAAGAACCATACGAGTTAATGATCATTAAGTTGCGGAAGATAATTTTAAGGCAAGAAAGTGTAATACAAATATACATATCCAAAATCTTTTTTAGTGCTTAAACCGTCTATACCATACTCAGCATGATAAAGGGAATATAAAGGTTAGAGATGCCATGGTAAACAATAACTCTGAAGCAGAAGAAACAGAATAAGGATCTGCTTTTGATCTTTGAGAGTTTGAGGTCAAGAATATGTCCATGAATCAAGCTAAAGAGAATATAAAGATTAGACATGCCATGGCAAAGTACCATTGCCTTGTACATTTACGCATACCTGGTACAGTACTGCTTTATTATAATAGTTTTCTTTTCTTTTTTTTTCTTTTTTTTTTCCTTTTTTTTCCTTTTTCACCTTGAGTATAACTAATTATTTATGTTTTTTCCTAATAAAATTTTGCTGTTTTGAACGGGTTTGCAGAAACTAATATTCCCTTGAAAAACGATCAAGAGGTGTCAGAGAGCCTGCTATGGAAATTCTTATTTGTGCCTGCGGACTTATGGCATGTTTGGCAGAAACAATGCTAGCTCAAACTTATGCAACGAAGCCTTGATAAGAATTCCCTATACTTTCAAGAATTGTGTTTTGTTTAATAGTTTCATATGTGGCGTGGCTGATGGCTCTGAGGACGATGTTACTTGCACAAGACCTTCACCAAGTAATTTATTCAGAATTTAATGAGATAGGGACTAGAGTTGAGTGAAAATAATTTAAAAAGCTTTTACCAACATCGCACTTACAAGATTGATCTTCTGAGTTTTTATTGTTTTTATTGTTTTGTTAATATAAATAATTAGATAAATGAATAAATAAATAAAAACCAGCAGCCACCAAAAAGTCAGCAATCATGGATGTCAAATTCAAAGGTTAAATTCAACGCCTCTTAAAAGTTCAATATCTTCCATGGATTCAACTATCAAAGTGACAACACTAGTTCAAGTATCGTTTTAACTTAACCTTTCTTGTCGCAATGTATTTAATTATGTCAACGATGAAAAATCACCTTTTGAAAGGCCTTTCTCTTGAAGATGTGAGGGATCATATTTCTAAGTCAAATAACCATACTTCGAATTGAGCACTAGACATTAATGTTAAACCTTTTGCCACCTTTAACGCAAATTGATACCACAGGATTCATCACTCGTTAGTTTACAACTTTCCAAATTAGTATCTTTTACTCTTCGAGGAATCCCCTAATTTCCAATGTGAACCGAGAAAAGGAAACCAAGAAAAAAAAAGAAGCAAGAAAATCCATACAATGCATCTGTCGTTATAGACATTAATGTTTAATCAAGTAAACAATTTCACCCTATCAAACTGCAAACAAATAAAATAAATGGCTAAACAAACAAACGCAACCGTCGCCGTCAACTATAGTAACCCAATTTTTTAAACTAATCTAAACAAGTCCACATAATATCCCCCAAGATACGCACTTAACCCATTACCTACGCGGGGCTAATTTTGGTCTAATAATATAATAAACAAAATACAGAAAAATTAATCCACCAATATACATACATACATACACACACACACATATATATATATATATATATATATGTGTGGATAATTGAAGATGAGTGATCTCCAAAAGTTCAATTACCATGGAGAGCCTAATAATTCAAATATCCCGTCTCTTTCCAGTTACGTTCAGACAAAAGTCTCATAGCGTTGTAATATAATGCCGACCGACCGAACTATCATGCGCCGCCACCGCAGCTTTTCACTTTCCAGCCTTGCTGAAGTTCCTGAATTGGACGAATAATTCCTTATTCCCCCTCAACCCATCATCATCATTTCCTTTATTTCACGAAATTCCCCTCCCGATTCCCAAATCTCCTCCTCTTTAACTTCAATCGCAATCCGCATGTGTAAATCCAAAATGGCCACCAACGCCGCCCAGCCCGCGCCAGCCCCTCGGCCCCACCGGACCCCCCACCCCTCCTCCGACCACTCCTCCCGTGCCCACCTCTCCCACGCCAGCTCCGAGTGGTCCCGAACCCCCCAAAGACCAGCCTCCAAGCCTTCCTCCTCCGAGGCCTCCACTTCCAACACCTCCAGCGCCGCTTACACCTCCGGCTCCAGCTACAAGCTCTCCTCTGATGATTCCATCGCCAACAGAACACCTCTCTCCAGCCTCCACGAGAGTCTCCCTGAAAAACCCCACATCTACGATTTCAAGGAGATCTGCTCCGCCACCAACAATTTCCTCGCCAAGCGCTACTCTTCCTCCTCTTCGACTCCGTCTTGGAGGTGCGTTCTTCGTGGTAAGGAGGTGATCGTGTTTCAAAGGAAGTTTCGGAGAGAGATGGGGACTTCCGAGCTCAAAGAACGCCTCTCGGTTATCTGCCGGAGCCACCACACTAGCATAGTCAAGCTCCTCGGAGCATCTGTCTCCGGCGACCATATCTATTTGGTGTTCGAGTTCCTGATCGGAGCGAATCTTGCCGATTGCTTGAGAAACCCTAGAAATCCGACCTTCACTGTCCTTTCGACATGGATGTCGAGAATGCAGATCGCGACGGACCTCGCGCACGGTCTCGATTACATCCACAACAAAACGGGGCTGAGCATCAGCCTCGTGCACAATCACATCAAGAGCAGCAGTGTCCTCGTGACGGAGCCTTCTTTCAACGCCAAAATCTGTCATTTCGGCACCGCCCAATTGTGCGGCGAGATCGACGATCGGATGCCGCCACCGATCTCAAAAGGCGAAATCGCAGAGGTCTCCGACGACGACGAGGGTTCAGATCCCGGTTTGAAAAAACCGAAGGATTTGGAGCGCTCTGGCAGCGGGAGAATGCAATTCGCGGGAGTGATGGGGTACATGTCGCCGGAGTTCCAGTCGAGCGGGGTGGCGACGCAGGAATCCGATGTGTTCGCGTTCGGCGTGGTGATATTGGAGCTCCTCTCCAGCGACGAGCCTATGAAGTACAAGTTCGACAGGAGCAAGCGGGAGTTCGTGAAGACGTCGCTGATCGAATCGGCGAATGCGGCGGTGGACGACGGCGGTGGGCGGCTGAGGCAGTGGATGGATAGGAGGCTGAAAGACTCGTTCCCCGTCGACGCGGCGGAGAAATTGACTCGTGTAGCATTGGAATGCGTCCACGTGGACCCGGACAAGCGGCCCAACATGGGCCGCGTCGCAGGGAAGATTTCGAAGCTGTATTTGGAGTCAAAGACTTGGTCCGACAATCTCACCCTTCCGACAGATTTTTCAGTGTCGTTGGCTCCTCGTTGAAGAACAATTAAGGAAATTGTTTTTAATTTACATTTACACATTTCGAAATTGAATATTTGTTTCCGGAAAAGACCGGCGGGAGTGATTGACATAAATAGATACTGATTTTTTTAACTAATGGATCGACATGGAATCAGAATATCTTATGTCTGCGGGGAATTTTTTTTTTTTTAATTATCCAATTATTCATTTTGTATAATGTAATATTTTTGTCGTTTGATAAGGACACAACTAGAGGTGGCTATAGATTTTTGTCCGTATTTAGTTGGATCGTTAGAGAAGAAACAAACCTCGTGATGTTTTTTTATTATTTTTTAATGAACATTGAACAGATCCTGATCCTGTGACTTGACGTGATATGGTCCAATGGATTATAGAAGTTCTTTCTTTTTTGTCCTAATTTGTTGAAAATTAGTCCTTTGGCGAGAGTTTTGTTAATTGTTATTGTCACCAGTGTTTGGTACATCTGGTTTGACCTTTAAGAAGAAAACAGGCTGATCGCAACTAGAACCGCTCCATACAAATAAAAATCAAAAGAGAGAAGTCGGTAAACGACATCAGAACTAGGGGTGTAAATCAGTCAGGTAGGGTAGGATTGAGCTGAAAAATTAAGCCTACCCGACCAGTGCGGGTTGAGAAAATTTTGGGCCACGAGTCTACAAACCCGCAACCTTTCGAGTGATCTCGGGTAGGATCGGGTTACTCGGGTTGGTGATCTCAAGGACCACATGCTCACTTTTTAGTCAATTAATCTGTGCTTATTACAAAAGAAATCATTATCAAACAGAACATGTCTTTCCTTCAATAAGGGATCCAAATGCAAAGTGAACAATTAAAATACTCACTTTAAAATCAAACACTTCCAATATAAATAAAGAATGTCCTAATTCAACAACTATGACATACAAGCATTTTTTACACAAACTGTAAATCTAAAACATAAATAAGTTAACAGTTTAAATGCATAAAGTCCATAAACTTATGAAAGTAAGAATTTGAAGTGTTGGACATTATTTTACCTACTTTGAACATGTTCGGCCGGGTAAGATTATCTCGGGTTCATGTAACCCCACCTCGCGCGCCTACCCACGCAGTGTGGATTAGGCATAATTAAAACTGAAAATTAAATAAAAAATTAAGAACCCGTGATTTTCGAGTAGGGTCGGGTCAGCTCGGCCGGGTTCGTCGGGTTCGGAGTGATTTCTTACGGCCCTAATCAGAACCCACAACCATAAAACTTTTTGATTGAGCAACAGAAGTGGGAATCATGATGAAAAATGATGTGACTGACGATGAAAACATGAATACATGATCAACAAGTCAACGCAACCGAAGGCACTTTGTATTAGTGGCCATCTAAGTTAGTGATTTTGTTGAAAATGATCAATTCAAATGCAATAGTCCACTATTTGGTATTAATCACATGGAACAAGATTGTGAAAGCTGGAAAGCCCAATGAGGCTGCAAAGTCTACTATAAAGTAACTTTCATAAGAAAAGGCTGACAACCTTTGCGAAGGAAAACACAAAAAAAGGGTCTACTTGAGCTACAATTCCCTCGTGTAACTAGAAACTAAGGCATGCCAATTATGTTGTCATGTTTGAGTTGCTGAGGCATGCAAAGAGGCAAACATTCCCGCAGATTGCGGGATTCCAACTCCATAACAGAACTAAAACAATCAATCCTCAGAAAACTCATGCATTGATGAATCAAACGTGATAATTGCTACATGTAATGTAATGTAATGTAATGTTATGTAATGCGTAATACCAACTACTAAAAGAAAAGGAGGGGTCATCTACCTACACACGAGTTTAAAAGATATTGACATTCTGAGGTGACACACTTTCGTTCCTACTATTTTTTTTTTCTCCCCTCTACTATTAATGTTAGCAAAGTATACCCCACAAGTATATCGTAGTTTGAGCTCGATGCTTTGCAGTAATTCTTTGCCATTGAAACTGATCGCATTCTCAGACGGCAGTTGACAGAGGGACCAATGCATTTGAGGTGCTGGCTGGGAAGGATGAAACGGCCGGAATAATGCAGGAGACCTTCGACCTACTGTCCCTTGGATACGGATAGATAACAGCCAATTCCCTAACTCGCCACAGAATAGATTCCGGCACAAAGTTCGTTGCTTGCTTTCGTCCTTGGTCAACCTGCATCAACTTAGAAGGATAAGTAAACTGACCAAATAAAAGAGCAATAGCCAGCACCAGCCATCAGCTCATAAAATGATTTCTCATTCATCAAAGACTAAGAATATGGAGTTTGTAGTGTAAACAAGTCATTTGGGTCAAATTGGAATTGAAAATCCTCTTTGGAAGAACCAATTTCAAATGTCGTTTGCTCGTGTTTGTTCATCAGATACATAATTCTCTTAATCAACTGATAAATTTTAAAAATCACGACAACACAAAGTAGCTGAATGTGCAAAACTTTCATATGTGTATTTACCAAATATCTATCAAATACTAAACAAAATCCGCTCGAGTTTCTACAGATTTTAGATTCAGCATTTAAAGTACTTGTTAGCGATGTTAAGAGAAAAAGAAAGCATGAAATGAAATTTAGCCACACCTTTTCCTTGATCTGCAATTGGGTACAGCTAGCCCTTAACAAATTTCGCCATTTGTCCTGAAACCACAAGAGCCGTCAAAATTTCACATCCAGAAATTGACAATCGCCGTTAATAATCTGAAAATGCTCGCAACTACCTTGAGGTCTACGGATGTACGATGTGAAGCTGATGAAAAAAGTAATCTCTTTATCTCAGTCCATCTCCCCACTCCGCACTGTGAAACGCCATCAACTAACTTCACCACTTCCTCAGTTGTCCATGATATATGTCGTTTTCTCCTGGTGCTACCTTTTGCAGTAAAACTCCTTGCAACACACTCGTCTTCAGAAATGTCTTCTTGTGACTCAACTATAAGAGCTACATCAAACCTCTCGCTTGGATCTAGAAGTCTATTTTCCTTGGAAACCCCAGAGCCCTAGACCCAAATTTAGATAATAAAGGCCTTTGTACATAGATGGTAATATAATCCCGCAGCAGGAGGTTGAAAAAAATTAAATAAAATAAAGTTGCATGAGAAGGAATGCTTGAAAGGAAGAGCTTCCTGTGGATCCAATCAGACATTAACTATGTAATACAGCGTACAAGGAAAGGCAAATTTTATTTTTACAACATTAAATTGTCCTAAAAAGATAACATGACAAGTTATAAATTTTGTTTCACTCATTCATTGTTTGAGCAAGGAATCTAAAAAGCATAGTGAATCCAATCAGACATTAACTATGTAAAAGAACTTGACAATAGCAATGCTTCTTACCAGAGATGATTTGTTTTTCTTTGGGTGGGGTTGCTCTCTTTCCATTGGAAGACCAAAGGGAACTTGGATACACCCTCCATTAAAAGAATCATCCTCATAAACCATGTGTTCTGCATTCTGCCACTTATATTTCGGATATCTATCATACAGAATCCTATCCTTTGATCTTTTTCCTATTCCACATTTTTTATTATTAGATTTTGATTCGTACTCCAATGATTCTTCAATGTATCTCCTGGGTGGCTTTCTTGACCTTTTTGGTGAGACAAGTGGTTCTGCCCTATATCCTTCATCTGAGCAGAACTCTATTTTGCTAACATCAGAAGTTGAGGTTTTGATGGATTCACAGCCATCCACTCTCTTTCTCTTCATCTGCTGCTGTCCTGAAATACTCTCACTATTCAATGGTCCTGTGACGGGGATGGTGGAACTTGCACAATAGTCAACAATGGATAAAAATATGGTTTTATCTTCACTTTCGGTAGAAATTTCTTCAAATTTCATGAGGTTCAGACTAGTTTCTAACTGAGCATAGTTCTCCAAACCATATAAATTATTTTTGTTTGGCCAGTTCTTGTCGATCAATAATGTCTCGTGTCCAGAAATGTTCTTAAAGGCCTCATCCAATTCTTTAGCTGCAGCTTGGTCTAGCAAAGAAGGATGATGGTTATAAGTATAATTAAGCACCGGCATACTTGTAGAAGACAACTTGACCATCTCCTCATCAGAGCCTGTTTTATGGACACTTTGGGATTGATTTTCTAATCCAACATTTCCCAGACAAGAAGATTTATTGCAGGAGCCATCGTCCGATTTGACAGCTTTATCAGCATGTTTGGTATCTACACGGGGAAAAGGAAGCTTTCATATGCTTATAGTAACAAAACGTTATGACAGCACTTCAACACATATATATATATATATATATATATATATTTATATATATATGTATTTATAAGGGGAGAGAGAGACTTACCAAAATGATTCTCTTCAGAACCGCCAAAATTGATTCCTTGCGACGCCTCTGAAGGAAACTATTACATTAAGAGAAAGAAAAGACACAAAAAATTTCAGAGAGCTTTACATATTTATCATAGATTTTTTGGTCAAAACTTACAAAGAAATAAAGTATGAACCCAAGGAGGATGAACCAAAAACAAATAACGAAGCAGCTTGAGCACAAATATATGAATCAAAACGTAAATAAAAATTATTAGTCAGATAGTTTTGAAGATTCATATGAAAATATATTTAAAGCAGACACCAAGAAGAAAATACATACTTCTAGGCTTTTTTCCTCGCCTTTAGGAAGCATAGTATGAACTGCATCTGCATGAGAATTCACAAATAGATTAAAAATATAAGTCAAAACAAACAAAGATATGAAATACCTTAGTAAGGCCATAACTAATAAAATCAAGTCACACATTCAAGATATAATGCACAAGAATTCAACAAGAAGCGTGACTCCGCACAACATACACTGATCACTATTGATTCAGATTCTTCTGTTACATGTTCCCCTAACGGGATAAAGTCAAAAAAATATTTATACGGATGCATATAGAAAGTCATAACATCTTTGTAGCAGGAGTACTCCAGTCCGGAAAGAACAGGTAGGCAAGCTGATCTATAAAATATGTATAAAGGGATTTTCCTAACATATATGCAAATAAAAAATACATGCTAAAGAAATTAAAAAGACAAAGTGACAGCTTTCATAACAACACACATAAACACAAATCATTTAGCAAGTACCAGAAAGCAAAATAATAATAATAATAATAATAATAAAATCAAAATCAAAATCAAAGACAGGTTGCAAACAAACGTCCAGTAGATTGTTAAAACTTGAACAAAGTAAACACATATTGAAGTGAGAGAGAGAGAGAGTACCAGTATCAAGTTTTATCTGATCATAATCAAAAGTGCTTGAAATATCTTCTATATTGAAGCTTTTCTCAATTTGGAATGCATCCAAATCAAGAAGACCACTAACCCAATCTTCTTTACACGGAGGCTCTACCAAGAAATGCTCCAAGACCACAGGTTCATCTTCTGAGGCAGGAAAAATAGGCATATCTGCATCAACCTAAAGATGAATAACAGAAACTGTTATAATAAAGCATTAACACAAGAACTCAGTTATTGAAAAGAAAATAACAGCAATGAAACAGGAGAAAAATCATTCAGAAAGAATATCAGATCTCATTTACTAGGAGTCAAATCATAATACCAAATTCAAATCCAACCACTATATTATGAGACCAGTGGCCACATGAAAGAATAGTACCTCAACAATTTATTTTTTTTATTTTTACTTATAATTTTAATTATTATTATGTTTTTCTTTTTTTTTTATATCCAGAGTTCTCTGAACCCACTTTCTGAGCCCGAGTTGGAAACTGGAGCCTTTTGCCAAACCCTACAATCTTTGGAAGGCAAGAAACTACAACTTTTGTCATATAGGTGCCAATGAGGTGGTTCGAACCAGCAATTTAAATTAAAATAAAGCATTTTTACCAGCACTACGCTGCAGACTGAAACACAAAAGACAAGAATAACAGCGTTTTATAGACTAGAGTGAAAATTCTACATACCTCATAAGGCTTACAGGTGAACATAGTTGCAAGCGCTTTCGAAGTTATCAAAGCTTCCTCTCCTTATGGACCCAGACAGACCTTAAATTTGTTTTCTATCTGACAATCTGTAAGCTCTTAGCACTGAGATTGGAAATCGAAAAAGTATATTGAAGTGGAGTTAGAACTTCAAAATAAGTAACAGGATCGCTTCCAATACGCTTTCAGCAAAAAGTTCAGTTAACGCATTACACTCATTACTAGAAACACATAACAGTTATTCTAGACAAACTATATTGATAAGTAACCGAAACTCAAAGTCCCAAACTCCCAAATTACAAAATGGACCATTTTTCCAGCGTTAATTCTGAACCGCATTCCTTATCAATATTCACAAAAATAAAGATAAAATAAAAACAAAACAAAAAAAGGCGGGAAGCATAAACAGAGTAGAATACCAATCTGTCAAGAATCCATTTTTATCCTAAAAGCTTTACTTCTAAGCAAGTTATTTTTGCTTCTCAATAATATCCCTTGCTATTTTCATATTTAGTCTTGACTCTTGTCCTATACTAAAGCTAGAGACTTCAAATCATTGTTTTACGTTCCTGTAGAGTGACAGCAAGTTCATTACTACTTTCCTGCTCTGGAAGCCGTAAAATCAAAAATGAAAAAAGAAAAGAAAAGAAAAAAAAAAAAAAAAGAAAAGAAGTGGGCATTCCATCTCAAGTTCAAAATTGAAAATTCACCAAATCCTTTCTCACAAAATTTCAAACAAAATAGGTCCAATTTCTGATTTCTATGTTTCCTGTGACGTTAATTTCAATAAAACCAGTGGGGTCATTGAGCCTCAGTAGGGCAATCAAAGAATACCCTTTATCAAATGAATGCTTCTTCACCCATTTACTGCCCCCATCAAAAGCTACAATAGGCAAAGCAAAACACCATGCATAATCAAACAAACACCACATCTCAAAATCCCACATTCAAACACAACCCAGAAAAGGAAAATCAGAAACAATAACCAAAAACTCAGATTATCATCGCAAAGATGAAATATAAACAAAAATCCCAGCACAATAAAGTAGCTCCAGGACAAACACATAAAAATAGCAAGCATAACCAGTGATAAAAAATGCCAAAGGAAAAAAAAAAAGAACTTCATAGGAGAAATCGAAAAAAAAAACCCAGAAGAACAAATAAAGAAAAGTAAAGTACCTCATGCAAAACAGCCGGAGAAAAACCAAAAAAAGGAGCGGAATATTCACTGTAGTGGAGGACTCTGAGAGCTGAGCTTGCCAGAAGAAGAAAAAGAAAGAGGAACAGAAATCAAATCACCACATTACCAAGGCTAAGGAAAATAGAGGAAAAAAGCAAAGGAGAGAATTTCTCAGAGAAGCCCCCAAAAGCTGAGAGAGGCGGAAGAGAGAGAAAGAGGAGAGGAGGGAGAAAGAAAGAAAGGGAGGGAAAGTGCAAGTAGGAGAGAGAAAGAGAGAAAAAGAAAGCAATTACGAGGTTGTTTATTTTACCAATATATTTGTGTTGGCGATTTTTGTTGATTTATTAATTAATTTTATTTATTTATATATTTGGGGATGCGGATTTGAAATGAGAAATTAAATAGAAATGGGAAAATGGGAATAAAGAGGGGTTTGGAGTCCGCGGGTGGGGACAGTGGGGGACAGGTCAGAGTCAGAGCGTAGGAGACCTTTGGGTTTGGGCTACGACCTTTTTGTGAAGCCCCACTTGGCAATGGCCGGGCAGGACTGGATTGTCTATAAGATTTAACAAACGTTTAATTTATTGATTTAAATTTTTAATTTACGTTGAGATATAATTTTATATGATAAATTTTTATTATAATAAGAAAATTAAATATAATTATTTTTAAAAATATTTTATTGTAATAAAATTTAAATTTTAAATTCAAATTGATAAAATAAACGGGATTGCATTGTTTAATTTGTCGATTTAAATTTTCAATTCAAGTTATAATATAATTTTATGTCAAAGCTTTTAATTGTATTAAAAAAATTAAATATAATTTTATATACAAACTTTTAAATATAATAAAATTGAAATTAAAAATTAAAATTAATAAAATAAACAATGCCTTATATCATTAACCTCTCCAACCACTTAAGCGGCACTCCTTAATATATGTAATTAATTTTGGACTTTATTATTGTAAAATCTCAGTTAATGACTTAACTTTGCGAACGATGATATCGACTTTTTTTTTTCTTGAAACGATAATAACGACTTCGCAAAAGAAAAAATCGGCGGGAATTTGGAACCGTGCAATTCAATGTATGCTGTGATATGATAGTATACTGACCATGTATGTATCTATTTATAGGAAAACTTACGTGGAGATAGTTTTTCTCCCCTTAAACAAATAGATTTTTTTTCACGGTTTTTTATGTGTGCGCTTTTTTTTTTTTTTTTGTTTAGCTTTGATTAAGCTTCGTATTATAGTGTAGACTATAAAATATGATAGTAAATAAGTATCTATTTTTAGTGACGGAGTCAGTCTTTTATTTTAATAAAAACGTATATTAAATTTTTTTAATAAATTATCTTAGTATGAGCATATAAGAAAGTATATTTATTTTAATAATAGCACATATTATTTCAGTGAGGATTTAAATGTAAAATTTTTAAATTTTTAAAAATAATATTATTTTTAAAAAAATTTAAATGAGAACGATAATCCTTACTGAGCTGTACTTAAATCCGTCATTGTCCATTTTACCACCGAGAGCTTGACGAAGTGGTAAGCTCATGGTGAGTTCGAGCTGGGACCAACACAATAGTCGGGATAATACAATAGTGTGCCTCCTCACATCATTTGAGTACGCTATCCTCTAAACCTATAATATTTTTTTAGTTTAAGTATTATGAATTTGTGTCATTCCTTTACATTTCCTAATCTGTATACATATACGCATTTTATCTTTTAATTCATTACAAATTAACAACGATAATAAATTGTAGCTACGTTTTTTACTTGCGTCCCTAACTCTGAACCCGTGACAAGAAAACAACAATCATTGTCAATTGATATTAGAATATCAATCAAGCATTAGCTGTTTATTTGATTGGTTTCGGCTGTGAATTATAAATTTGTAAGTATTAAATCAATCACTAAACAGCTACAATTTGACCAATCCCCAATAGATGTATGTACCTACGTGAGACATCCAGCCAAGTCAAACAATGTTCCCCTACCTGTTCCCTAGATTTCGGCTTAAAAGTTCTTTAAATATGTCTTGATAACGGCCTTTGTGCACATTACTACTTCTACGTCAAGTTAAGAATCTTGCCTCAAGCTTACACTCTAATGAACTATTAATGAACTTTAATGAGCAGTTAGAATATAGAGTTTCTCTCGCGGGATTAGAAAAAATAAGTTATTAATGGTTTTATATTTTTTAATTATTAAATATGTATTAAAAATTATTTATTATGTATATATTTTTTAATTTAATGTGATTTTAACCATATATAACGGTCAAAAATTAATCTCACCAGTCAGCTGATATGGTTCCGTTAGAATGTCTTTTTTTTTTTTATTCTTCTAAGATAAGTTTAAGGGATAATTCTACATATGACTCTCCAAATTAAATAAAAAAAAAAGAGAGTTTAAAGTTTGACACTTTAAAATTGCGCCTTATTATTTGAAAGAATTGGGGGTTTTTTTTTTTTTTTTTCCTCCATTAAAGCCCTGTAATTTCTGTTGTGGATGAAGGAAATAGGATACCACCAATAATCCTTTTTTTTTTCCGGCCAAAAAAAAATGGAGACAAATTTTCCTTACTAGATCATTGAATCCTGTAATGATTCTTATTCATATATCGCACTTGGTTATCACATATTATGTGCACATTATTCATGGAAGAAAAAAAAAAGCACTTATAAAAGAGTTTATATAGCCAATAGATATTGGAACTCATAATCATAAGGTATTTTCTCCACAGTAGCGCTAGTTACTCTCCCACTGCTGTGGGATCTGAAGCAATCCACTATTGACTTTCTCAGTGACCCAGATGTAGGCAATTGGTGGCATACCCACTCAACCAATAACTCCTTGTCTGCTGCAAAATCAAGCAGATTTCTTAGCAGTAATTCTGGCAATGCAATCTTCTTTGTGCTCGTCACTATGACTGAAGCTTGAAGATACTCCAGTTTTGATCTCTCCAACTCAGCCACAATACTCTCAGCTGTGTACATTCTCACCTGCACATAGATTGACGCGGCCCCGCCAAACATTTTCGTTATTCATGCTTTTTACCACCTTACTTAACAGGCTGGCCTTTTAAGATAAAAGTTAGGTCTCGTTCATTTCACCGATTCGAATTTTCAGTTCTAGATTTTTACAGTGAAAAACTATCAAAAAATATCACATTTAACTTTTTCAACTATAGTGAAAAACTCTCAGAAAATGTCACATCTCAGTTCGAATTGAAAACTCAAATTCACGAAGTGAACGAAATCTTTAGAGAGTCCAATTTTTATTATCACGTACATTTCAAACTTCAAAGAAAGTAATGGAATCGAATATCTTACAGCAGGAGAAGAACGGGTTCCGCAACAGAGAGCGAATGTGACATTAGGATCTGTGGATTCGAGTCCGTAAAGTTCACGAACAATGGCTTCTTTGTCGTCTTTCTCGCCGTTCTTATAAGCCTAGAAAAAGAGTCATATTGCATACCAGATTATATAAGCACTACAGATATGGTGCGACAATGAATTACATTAATGTCAGTCACACACACAAACACATATATATACACAGTGATACATGATATATCTACCTCTTTCATGCTTGAAGGTGCTGATTTCCTCAGAATGTAATGCTCTATGGCTTGAGCATTAATGATGTTGCCTCCTATGTTGAGAATTGCCTGGTTCAAAGAATTAGAAACCAAAGGACAGATAATATTTAGTGATTATCACACTAGATAATAATCATATATTCATATTGTTCCTCTTCTTGAGTTTTTGTGTGATTCCTGGTTAGTAGGTTACTAAGATACCTATAATTTTGGTAGTTTCAGTTGAAAGTACCTTGTTCATCAATGTAAGCAGTTTTTCCGGGGAAGATGGCACTCCATATTGGAGAAATCCCTGAAGATATAAAAGAAATTCACAGTAAAATATGTCATAAACAGGACAAGTTGAATAATTCTCACTTGTTTTCTGATGTGTGCCTAAGCTTATGCATAGCAGAGCAAGTCTAACTGAGGAAAAATTGCTTAAATCTTGGTCTTGTATGCAAGATTATGCACACAACGAAGTTGGAGTTCTCATAATTGAAACTAAAACAACAAAAGAAGAATAGCTTCTTTTTTCGCAATATATACATGCATGATACAAGCATTGTACATGTTGATCCAGAACGCTAACTTCTGTTGGTATGTCAAGCTTCTCAAATCCACCGTCTGTAGAATGTTCATCAATTGCCTGTTGTGAAAATTATGAATCAATAAAAAAATAGGAAACAAGTTTTGAAAAGTATTGAGAGCAGAGCAAACTATTGGCAGCTCACTGTGCTAATTCTATTAATCTAAGGAGCTTATTTACATACCTTAACTTTCTTAGTAGAGGAAGAGAACTAGGACTCGAAACGCATTTCGGGTCCATAGAACTCGCGGTGAACATAACCAAGTTCTTGTAAGGCCCAATGTCCCTTGGAATTGACTCTTCCACATTGAAGATACCATAAGGGTCTTGTTGCCTTGATTCCTTCAAGTTCGAACCAGCCTCAACTCTGAAGCTTCTTGAGCTTAAGGAAGAGTGCAAAGACCTTGAAATGGGACCTGACTTCTCTAGTTCCATTGTCCTTGTTGTTCTAAGCAGCCTAATGTATATGAAATTCAGACACTTCAGGATTTCCTCAGATAGCTTGTTGGGTTGCCAATTCTGGATGTTCTCTTCTGAGTGAATTGAAGCAGATACAGGCTTTGGAGGGAGGTGATCTAAAGGCATTCCCGGATTTCGTGTTGGCTGAAATCGAAGAAATCGGGGCTCGAATATTTTGAAAGTAAAACTATTTAGTGTTATAACATGTTGATGATAACTAGTAATTAGTCTTACTCATCAGAAGCATACCCTGGGTGATGGATTTCTTGGATCTCTCATGGGAGAAGCTGGCTTCAACATTCCACTTTTCCTTGGAACCCTTTCTTGTATCTTGACCTCTTCATGGAAATAATTCTCTTTCTGATCACCAAATGCTTTGAAGTTCATTCCCCTTCTCTCATTTAGACTAAAGTCATTAAGATTATAGTCACCTTTTATGGCTTTGCTTATGAAGTGCAATGTCTTGGTTTCATATGCCATCCTATCACTATGAACACCATTATGCATGGGGCTTGGGAATGTGAATGAGGATGAATGACCCCCGGGACCTGGACGGAGTGGAGAACCGTATCGCCATTGTTTTGATTTTGATTCCTTGTTCACTTCCTGTTCTTGCTTCAGTCCAAGTTTAAGTTTACTTATTTGGCCCTCAAGTCTTTCAATCTCATCTTCAACCATAGCCAACTCTGCTAGGAGCTCCTTCATCTGCATAATTCATTGCTAGTTAGTAAATTTGCTGAAAGAAAGTTCATTCAATATGAGCTTGCCATAGACTTCTTCATTGGGACATAATAAGGTTCCTTTTGATAAATTGCTTCCATAAATAATACCTCCATTTGGTACCATTATTTGAAATCGGAAGGAAAGATATACCTTGGGAGGAAGGAAGTTTGGTATATTAGTGAAAGACCCGTTGTGTTGATTGTTAACATGCTCCAAAATTTCGTGCACTTTTTCTTCTTGATTCAGCTTGTTTTGAAGCGTAGAGACCTGCAATTAACATGGTCTTCTCTAATGCCCCATATTACTCAAGCTTAAACGGTAATATAACTATATAAGTAAAACATTCCTAATATTCATATTGTTTCCTAACTAAATCAGCCATCAAAACATTAAATATCAAATATCTACCAAAGTCTAACTTTGTATTCATCTGTTAATTAGAAAACAACGGCCGTATTTAGAATTGATCCCGTTTTTATTTTTTACGTTTTTCGAAAAAGAAAAAATGAAAACGTTTTTAATACGGCGTTTGACGCAATAAAGACAAAAAATGAAAATGAAAACAATTTTTTAATTTAGTGAAAAATAAAAGAGAAATGAAAAACGACTTTATTTTTTTTTTTCATTTTTATTTTCGTTTTCTCATCTCTCGAACAGAAAGAGAAAAAAATAGACATCAATAAATTTTTTTATACTAAAAATAATTTTTTGATAAAATTATCAAACGTATTTTTAAAAATAATTTATGTCTAAAATTAAAAACGTTTTTATTTTTTATTTTCATATAAAAAATAAAATTATTTTAAAACGAGTTTGTTTTTTTGCAAAGTTTTGCAATATTTATTAGATTGTGCAGAACTGTGGAATAAAAGAGTTGTCTCACAATATTTACTCCTATCTTTTTCATAGGCAAGTACCTAGACTAGCTAGTTAATATAATTAGACTCTATATAAAATTTTCGGTATGGGAGTGGTCTAACCTTTTCAGATCAGCGAATACTCGTATTTTGTACACTCCTATTAAATCCTCGACACCAAGAACTCAAAATATATATCAAAATGTTGCCTAGGGAAAACCAAATCATGGTAACTAAAAACGGATAATTGAACATATTTGAGATTTTATAATGCCGAGTCTCAGCTCTAACGGATCAATTGTTTATTAATTAACAAACTCTTTAACTTTTTTTTTTCTGAGTGTTTATCAATTAAACATATTAGATTTCCATTATTTGTTTGAGGACTAACTTATACTCGTGACCTATGTCAATTCGAGAACCTTATAGATTCATCAGACAAACATAAACCCTGCAGGAAACAAAAACCCATCACCTACGTTGTCCTATTAACATAGCTAGGCTATTCAGTTCCAACACGAATTAATTAATTCACGCTTTATAGTATTTTTTTTTTCTGGTAAGTTTTATAGTATCAACTTTTTCAACATATCTTTCAATCAATAAAACTTTTTCAACATATCCCAGAAGATCCAAAACGTTCATACCTCTCTTTCAAGCTCATCAAGCCTCTTCCTCTGGCCGCTTAGTTTTTTCTTTCTCTGCGGTATCAAACGTGATCATGATCAAATACTAAATTGACCAAAAAAAAAAACTTTCCATGCAAAACTTACAATCTCCACCAGCGAGTAGTCTCCGGCCTGGCTCGCCATGAACTGCATACCGCGGCGGTGAAGCCTCAGAGCACCGAAAAATATCCAAGAGGAAATGTTGACGCTAAAACGACAAGGAATAATGTTATTATTGGTGAAGAGGTTTTGTAGATGAGCAAAGCAATATTGTTGTTGGTAGGAGAAGAGGACTAAACCAAGCTTGGAGGCAAAGGAAAAAGGGTGGCAACTATGTAAGTTGACGTGCGATTATAGTTTGAATTAGAAAACTGTTTTGTTGATTACTGTTTTAGAAGGTGGGAAGGAGCTTTCAGGTGGGTTTTGGCAATTGGAAAACCGCCTATATTGCGGGTGGGACATCATGCAAGAATGAGAGCGAGAGAGTTGGAATGATGCGTGGAGTTTGTGGGCTACTTTTTTACTTAGTTTGACGTAGCTTGCAATTGTGGTTTTGTATGGTTAGCGGTTATGACTTACCAAGATGAGATGGTATATTATCGTGATCAAAAGCTTGTATTATTTATGGCAATAGTCGGTAAAACAATGATGTGTGATGCATTAACGGCTAAGTACTGTGCATTTTGTTTGCCCTCTATGGCCAACATAATATAACGACTTTCTTATGACTAAAATTTTCATCAGTATTCATATCACATTGATTTTGTGAAAAAAGTTTTTTTTTTCCCTTCTCTTTTTCCTTTTTTTATGGCCTTTTTCCTTTTTAAGCTTGATGGTCAAAGTTCGGACCTTGACCGCACACGTGGGAAAGATTTATTTTGCCATTGATCAATTCCAGTCGTTGGAACAGATGGTGTCGTTTTTCATGTTACTTCGTCGCTTAGGGGTTTTTTTGTCGTTTCATATTTTGTAGTTGTTTTATTGTTGTAGTATGAATTTTATTTTCTGTCCATTTTGTTGTCGTATTTCCAATTGTCGTTTGCAATATTACACTCGTTCTCTTCTTTGCACTTTCTATATTTTTTTTTTTTTGCCCTTTTTATTCTCTCGTCGTTTCACTGCTACGGTTGTTGTTCGCATTTCTGTCTTCATGAGAATTGTCATTTTTCTTTTTCCTCGTCCGATTACAGCTTCGCATGTCTTCTTTTTTTTTTTTATTACTGTCGATTTCACTTTTAACCGTTCATTTCACCGATTTGAGTTTAAAATTCGAATTTTACTACAGTAAAAAACGAACAGAAACTGTCACATCTAACTTTTTTATTACAGTAAAAAGCTCTCACACAAAATCACATCTCAACTCAAATTACAAACTCGAATCAGCGAAGTGAACAGGCCGCTGTTTGCAATTCTTTTGCACAGTATTGCCGCTTTTCCCCCTCAATCTTCAACATCAGTTTTAAATATCTTGTCGTTTTGTATTCATCAGCTTCATCCTCGCTTTCCTATTTATTGTCGTTTTTAAACGTATTCTTTTCGCTTTATAAGTTTTTATTGTGTCGTTTTATTTTTGTTGCCTATTTACTTATATACTTATAGCCATCGTTCAGTGATCTTCACTTGAACTGTTGTTTTCGAGTTATGTTGTCTCTCCATCGTTTGAAGATTTCATTTTCCTTTTTCCAATTTATTTTCATCTTCATCGTCAGTTGCCTCTTGCTTTCCTCTTTGCTTTGCTTTTACGGGCCTCTTTTATGTCAAAATGTAACAACGCACCTAAAATTAAAAGTACAAACCAACCATTAAAGCCGAAAAAAAAGAGAAAAATACAAGTTTGCCATGATTTATGGGTGTTTATTATTCATGTCGTTTTAAATAATTAGTGCTACCATCGTCGTGGCCGGCTCAACACATTTTGGGGTCTTAACCCGTATTTCCCCGTGAGCCTTTTTTTTGCGTGTAGTGGACCGGCTATTCAGCCCGTATTTCCCCAGTCCAGTAGCCCATGAGCCTTTGAACACTTTCTGGACTTCTCACTTTTGTCTGAAGGGTTGCCTTTTTTAGAAAAAATTATTCAACTTATTCTATGTAGGTATATCGGTAAGGTCTTTAAATCAGTACTTACTATTTATCGGATTAAAACGGTAGTTGTATAATTTTATATAAATTGTATATATTTACATATAAAATCATATATATTTACATATAAAGTTATAAGAAATAATAATGTATATTAATCCTCAAAACATGTATTTTTTATAGCAATTAGTGAACACATAGCATGAAAATATGTATATTGGCTGATTTGTTGTATTTCATGTTAAATATACACGACTTTACATGTAAATATACATGATTTATATAAAATTATACAACTGCCGTTCCGGTCAGGCACTTTCTAAGTGCCTGATCAGGGACAATTCCATATTGGTATATTATTCCTCTTAAAAAAATGAATAATTTATTTTTAAGAGTACGTAAGTCTAGATTTTTACCTGTTATTTTTTAAAAATACTATTTTGTTAGTATAATTATTTGACTAAAAAAATTATGAATCAAGAGTAAAGATAAAATTCCGGATCTATGCATTTTTAAGAGGTATTTATCAAGATTATTCTTATGGCTTGTTTACTTATCCATAATCGGAGTGGACATGAATCGGAGTGGACATGTTTCAAAGTGGACAAGAATCGAAGTTAGAAATCAGAGTCAGAATAAGCTATTTACTTAGGTTCCAGGAATCATAATCGGAATCAGTCATAATCCCATTATGCGTTTACTTCCGCCCAGAATTGGAATAAACTGTTATAAATTTACTTACCTACATTTTTAGTAGATTTTTATGTGTTGAACTTTAAAAAAAAAATTATACATTATGCTAACTATCATAATATTAGGATAACTAATTAGTAATTATATTTTTTTAATCACACTAAATTAATCATCTAAATTAGGATAACTAATTAGTAATTAGATTTTGTTAATTACTCTCTTCTTTCGTGCTAAAAGTTGAGATATGGTTACTTTACATTATCAACATATAAAATTAAATTTAGCATTACATTGCATATTATAGAAAATAAAAATCAGCTTAGGATATAGATTGAAAAATGAAAAGCAATAGGCATAACACAAGAATCAAATTATAAGCATGAAAAAAAAGCTATCTTAATTTCATTTAATTATTTGCATTGATATAAATTCGTCCTTGGCACTAGTAAAAAAGAAAGAAAAGAAAAAAAAAATCAGAGGAAGTGAACAAGGAGATACAAGAGACGTGAAAGTAAATTAAGACATTTTTCAATTTTTTACTTTTTACTTTTCTATTCACAAATTTATTAGTAGAATTAAGGGTAAAATCGTAATTAATATTTACTATTAAGGATTGGGAGTGTCAATCCGGTGGAGGTTGGGAGAGTGTCAATCTCATTCCTCAATCATAAATTGGTGTTGTACCTACATATTTTTACTCTCATTCTAAGATAAAAATGAGTAAATAAATATGAGATTAACTCTATTCCTGATTTCTATTCTAAGTAAATATGTCATTACTCTTTACTCTTAATTAATATTATTTTAACTAATATAATTAAAGATATTAATTAATAAAAGTAAAATTCTAGACTCGTTTTATAAAGTATTTGTCTCATTTTCATTAAAAAAAAAAAGAGGCAATTTTCTAGTCTCTCATTTAAAGGCAAAGCGTAATATTGATGTGAAAGACTGAAAGAGACTCTAAAGAGTGGAGCGGCAACTATTTCTGCTTGTGTTAAGCGACAGCCAAAGAGTTGGAACGTTGAAGAATGAGAACCGCCGCAGTAGCCTTCCTTAAGCAATGCAAAAACTATTACCACTTCAAACCTTGTCTTCTCGAAACCACTAGAAGCTTCTTCCTTTCTTCTGCTTCGGTCTATCCAAAGCCCTTTACGACTCCCCTTCAAGGTCACATCTTCATTACGACTCTTATATCTCTCTCACAGTTGCACCATTTTTTTTTTTTTTTGTTGATACGATATGGCGCCTATAATTCTCACTTTACTAATAACAAATAAAGGTATCGGGATTCAAACTCTGATGAACACACACGCGCACAATCAAAATGATTGAGTTTTGTTGAATCACCGCAGTTCATTTCGGTTGTTCCTTTTCTCCCCAAAAAGGAATATTTTGAGGGGATACTACGCCTATTTTTGAAGGTGTAAAATTGTTAGGAATGCCCATATCACAACTCTCGTTACAATTTTAAGTAATGGGAAATATGGTTTTTTTTTTTTTTTTTTTTTTTTT